TTCAGATCGATATCTCGTTTTTTGGCCAGGTTATAGCGAAAAAAAAAACTGTTCAAAAATGATGACGTCAAATTTTTGAACTAAATTTTTAGCGATTCTAGACCACGTAGGGAAAAACAAAGACCACCATTGAACTCCCCGTGACGAGTTGCATTGAATCGATACCCTTTTTATGCAAAATATCAACTTTGAAATTTGACCTAATTTGACCTGACCTTGACCTGACCTTGACCTGACCTTGACCAAAACGCGAGTTAAGCTGGCCCCAAAGGCTATACCTGACCCACATAATCGCATTTGTCATGTAAAATGGACCATAAAACATGTATCACACGACACTTTCATATTGTGACCCCCCAGTGACCTGACCTCTGTGACCTGACCTGGTATCAGTGACCTCAAATAGCAAAATATGTGTTTGAAGAACATTTCCCCATCGATGATTTTCAATGAAATGCATTTTACTCGATTTTACAACGCATTTCTTGAAATGACTAAACGGTGAAAATTCGACCTTTGACCTGACCTTTGACGTCATCGGTTTGACCTAGGTCAATAAAATTGGGTCACAAGATAGATCCCTGATAGTGCTATCCAACACCATTTGCCACTTGTCGCTAGGCTGCGTGGTTCTTGAGATCTTAGGGGGGGGGCAAATTGCCCCCCCCCCCCCCAGCAGGGCGCGTTGCTTGGCAGAGCCCAACGGGGCGCGGGTTAAAGTTAAGAGGTTTTACAGCCTTTAAATATCTGCGTAGGTAAAGCCTACGCACATTCAAATTCAGGCACCTACATCTCCAATTCGAATCTTCGCCGGGATCAATGCGCTTTGCGTGATATATCTAATTTACTCAGCACGCAGATTACCGGTGATTGCTCGAGTGCTGCCTGATAGCTGCAGCTTCCCTGAACATGTGCGACTGTCTCGGCACAACCGCACGTGCTGTGATCACGGGACATCAGCCATCACCATTCATCACGTCAATCCCGTGATGAATGCGTGACGCAATGCGATCGTTGCAGCGTCGCAATGTCACCGTCACGACACGAGCGGGAACAGCACGTGATGGATGTGATCGGGGACATTTGACTTCATACAGGAGATACCCACACGTGGGAAATAAGCAGTGACGAGCACCAAGCAGTGACCTCTCGTCACATAGCATTGTGTAATGATTCCAAAATTGGTAAGTTTGTGAAGCAGTGTCATTTATTATTGAAACAATATTGGTCCATGGCAGTTTAAGAATTTTTTCCCAGAAGCCTTTTCTGGACATAATTTGCCTGCTTTGCTTATCTAATCGTCTATCGTCTTGGCTAAGAAGAAACAAGAAACTGTCAGTTGGTACTTTCTATGATGCTTGCCGAATGTGCACGTCAGGAATTTATCCGGTTTTTATGACAGGCGTAAGTACGTACAAAGAAAACGTCCATTAATGAATTAAGTGTTATTCTTAAGTTTCGGCACCAGCATATTCGTGGGTAAAGGTAATTATTTCATTGAACACATGAGAAAACAGGAAAATCAGATCTTCTGTAAATTATCAGGGCAGACTTGGGCAAGACGACCCAGATACCTAAATTATTTTTCTAAATAACTTTTGCCCAGAATGAAGACCGAAACATATTTTATTGCCCGAGGCGATGCCAAGGGCAATGATGTTTGTCGAGGTCTTCGCCTGAGGACGAAACCCTTCGCACCAGCATTCAATTTATTACATGGCTCACCGGAACTCGCCTACAAATGCTGCTAATTATGTCGCCGCTAAAATGAATAAATAAATAATGAATATGTAAAATAATGAACGAATTAAATATAAATGTTATGTGATATCAAAGTAAAAACTAAAAACGCAACAAAAATAAGAAATAAAGAAGGAATGAAACACGCATGGATTGCCTGAGGTAATGAAGTCACTAACAAAAAGATACAACTGCGCTATGATGGAAATGTAATGTGAAAATTACGGTCAATAGTCAAAATCATATCACTACATCCAGTTTACATACGAGCAACATACCAATAAAGTTAGTTCGATCTAACTGAGCTATAATTGTTAATCGTTTATTATCTTATCGCATAATTGACACGGTGTAAATAATCGAATTATCTGTAATGCATCTGAATCTGCGTAGCTTTTATTTTCGCGAAGGAATAGTTGGCATGCAGCATATGATTACCTTTTGATTTAGAATGACGCTTTACTTTTGGACTAATTTTGAAGTTACGTCAAATGATGTCAGCCCCATAGGCGGCGGAACGGGGAGGGCACCGTGCCCCCTTTGATTTCGGCATTTTAACCCGCGCACCGACGGGGGTCTGCACCAACTTAGACCGACGGGGGGGGGGGGGCGGATGACCGCCCCCCCCTGAGATCTCGAGAACGAAGCAAGATAGCGACAAGCGGTAAACGGCATCGGATACGCACGGTCAAGATCTACAATTTTTACAGAGGTCATTTTCAGGTCAGGTCAAAGATGACGTCACAGGGGTCGAAAAAGTCAAAATGGCGGCGCTAAATATGGAGAGAGTTTTTCTCGAATAACTTTCGAATTAGTCAAGATAGGAACAAACTAAAGGCATCATCGTGATCCTCTCGTCAATCCGCATCGAATGATATATATGTTGACCTCGAGAGGTCAAGGTCAAAGGTTGACCTCAGGTCACGTGACCTCGAGGTCATCATGTATATCATTCGATGCGTCTTGACGAGCTGAACACAATGAGACCATCCACGCGTCTGTATCTTGTTCCTGTACGGAGTTATTGGCCAAAAACCTTTGGTGACCTTTGATGACGTCACATGACCTCACAGCTGCCCAACAGCAAAACAGACCTCAAGGTAGTGAAGGTTGATCGTATATGAAGTCATGTATGGTATATGGGGCCATTCCGACCCGTTTTAGTGGTAAAAACAGGGAGTTGATTTTTCCCCCATTGACTTATAATGGGGAGGTCGCGAAATTGACCTGACCTTAGGTCACCGATATCAAAATTCCGAGATATACAAATTGTAGCTACTAATGACCTTATAACATCCTGCGACTTTCAAAGGCCTCCGACATCTACTGTAGCTCTGGCACGGTGACAAAGTTGCAAAAAAGTGACTTGAGGTTGGGTCATTCAAAGTGACCTGGTGACCTGACCTTGAAAGGTAGGAGGTTCAAACTAGCACACCATGTGTAAAATTGATAAGGGAATAGTTATACCAAATTTCGCGGCGCTACGCGCCGCGGTTTTCCCGCTATTCGCGAAAAACCTCAGGGGGGGCGGATATCCGCCCCCCCCCGTCGGTGCGCGGGTTAACATTAGCCCTATGGGCGTTGCATGAAAAGAATGGGATCAAAAGTCGGCAGTGCTCCCCCCTCCTTAATTAAAGGTGTTTCGCCGCTACTGGTCAGCCCAACTTGACCAGTTGATTTAAAGCACCGAATATTCAGTGTTCAGTTTCCTACGGATAGGACTTTTGATAGCCATAAGTTGATTTATAGGCGTCTGACGGGCGCAATGGGTATTTTATAGTACACTTTTTGGGACTTTCGCGAAACGGAACCGGGTACTGCAACGACCTCCCAAGTCGCGATGACATCGGCAATCCCAAGGACGACAGCTTTGAGACGCTTCAATAAAACCTTAGCGGATACCGTCGCACGCTGGAATAATCCAGTGCTTCGCACAGTCCCAGGCATACTGTGCATCTATATCATACTACTAATGACTCGTGTGTGTCCTACACTGCGTGACATATTTTAGCGCGGCTAACAAAATCAAATTGTTAGGATACCTAGGTGCTATTTTCTCAGACTCAGCCCCTAACGGTTTACAATAGAATAGATTAACCCTCGCCCGTATTGGTGTTTTTCCAGCCGGGAACGTATAAGGGTAGGGGGTCCATTGGACCCCTCCCCTGCCGTTTCGCCCCGGATTGAGCTAGAGCTTTGCGGAAAAACGAGCGTGTTGCCCGTGACGAGAGGAAGCCGATGATACCCAATTTTAAGGACCTAGGTCATTGGTTGACCTTCCAGGTCAGGTCAATGACCCAAAAATCGGGAAAATCGGGACCTGTTAGGATGTCATAAAGTGTGGCTGCTAAGGGTTTTTTCGGGGTGCTGATCACGAATATCATGTTAGTTTTGATCACAGATGATGTCTTCATGCATTTAGGCCAGGTCGGGTCAGGTCAGGTCATCCAGTAGGGGTCCTGCCGGGTATTCGTAGTAGGTGTCAACTGCCTCTGACAGCTTCGTAACATGTTACGAAGGCACCAAAACAACTTTGTAAATGTTCATATGGTTGCTAATTTCAAATTCAGCTCCAAAAACTGGCCTAGAAACATGCAAAACTCGAAAAAGTGAACCGAGGTCATCGAAGGTCAATGACCTGACCTGACCTTCAGGTGACCTTGACAACCACCCTAATGCATGATGGCAACATCATATCACATGTTTGAACGCTTGAAACCACGAAAAAAACTGCAAAAGCGCGGCTAATGCGAGCCGACATACGCCGAATCGCGATTCCGACCAAACATGGTCTCGAAAAGTAGGTCACAGGTCAAAGGTCATTTGGGTCAGGGTCATGAAATTTTCAGGGTACGTGTAAAATTGAGCAACTCGAGTGTACTGAAAGTGTCGTCGCGATCGGCCACTTTTTACGTGAGTTATTCGCAAAAACCGAGGGGGGTCCGTTCGACCCCCCCTGTAAGGGCGAGGGTTAAAATGCAGGAATGAAAAAAATGAGTTTGGGATAGAACGGGAATGTCGTTCGATTCAACAGCTAAAAAAATTTATTTCACTTCTGATCCTCATCCCATGCCCTCATCCCACACACGTGAAGGTGCAGTCTTGGTGCAGTCAATCGGAAACCTGTCGTGACCGAACTCACGAAATCACTCCCATATCTACCCAGCCACGTGCCACCATCTGATGATCCTCCCGGCTCAATGACCTAACGGTGCCGGTATAGTACACACGGCGGATCCACCGGGCGACTGTCGTTCTGCAGGTCACGTGTCAGCCAGCGGCGCCTCTGATTGGCTCGTCAGGTGCGGCAGCGCTCAGTTGCATATAAGCCCTCCGACATGACTCGACGGCGCTGTCCAAAGAGTGAGTCGCCGGGGGTGGAGTCGGTCGGGCGGGCGTGGTGAGTCGGTAGAGTCACGAGAGTCGTGAGAGTCGGAGAGGCAGCGAGCCAGCGGAGGAGGAGAGGACCGAGAGTCGAGCTGCAAGAATGGCTACCTGGATGTTTCTGTGGAGTGCGACAATGCTCGCGGCGCTTGGAACTACTTCAGGTGAGTTTGAATAAATTAATTTACTTTGTACGTTTTTTAACCCGATTAGATTAGTGCACTGGAAGCTCATACCTGGGCTGAAGCGGGGAGGGGGGGGGGGGGCAAGGCAAACGCCAAATGGCCAAAGGCCATTTGGACTTGGAGTACATCATCGGACTACCCTGAATGCTTTTTTTCAGCTCCAGAAGTTTTGTACGTTTTTGAGTGTCTTGCTTTCCCTGTATCAGCGTATAATTTAAAATAACCAAATACCTACTGGTCTTGACTTTGACCTTGACATTGGCTTGTAAAATGACCTGAGGTCAAAACTTCTAAGGTTTTTAGAAACGTCTAACCGAAACTTTTATTTGGCACTCCCTGTATATTTTCGCAACGCCTCTCTTTTTATTAGTGAGTTTGGCAAGGGGAGCGCCCCTCTCAGTCCCTGTGATTGGGTGTTGAACCCAGCTGAACCATGGGCCCGGCCGATTACTACGAGCACACGACCGATGAAGGCTGACGGTCAGGTGTTCGTGAATTAGGCGAAACGTTAGATCCAGTCAATAAAAGTTCATTTATATATTGACGTAATTATCGATATCAATTGTGCCGGCTCTGTGACAGACTTCCTAACCGTGAGAGGAAAATGGAAAACTGGTCTGATCGCACATCCGACCACCGCAGCTTACAGTTTACCTCCGCAGTCAGGATATCAGGTGGACAGTGGTGACCTATATTGTGTTTCCGCGTCGTAATAGCAACTCCATAGAAGTTAACTGTGAGAATAAATGATTAGAGAAAACATTGTTTCCAAATGCAATAGTCGTGTGTTTGTTTTTGTCAATTCAAACAAGACGATGAAAAATACACCAATTTAGCTGAGAGAGTAAGAGAGAGAGTGCAGTGCGTAATGTATTGATATTACATAGGTACCTATATGTCGAATAATAGTGGCAAATGAAGGAGGTAATGTTTTTGTTTTAATTTGCCGGTTTTGTTACCAAACTTGAGATGAGCGTACATATATAAACGCTACACAGTACAATGTATAGTCGACTACAGAATGATGTTCCACTCCTCAGAAGCTATCAGTTGACTGGAGCGCTAAGTTGTGCCGTTTATCACGCAATTAACGTGTCGATTGTGAGCATTGGGACAAAGCTATAATTTGTGAACTCAGCCCGTGTGATGCGGCACAGCCTACCACTCCAGGCAAATAATTGCCTGTGAAAAGTGGAACATCATTATGTAGTCGACTATACATACATATTACATATGTGGCTCAGCATACCGTTCTCTGCAGTCAAGGGTTTACGATCTGTTTCGGAGCGCAATAGTTCCAGTATCACATAGGTCTGACTGCGATATTCACGCCTCAGGAGAAATCAATCACAGCGTGATTTTGGGGTGTGCCTTGGCCAGTAATTATCATAGTGTTGGCGCAATACAAAATGTGAGCATTGCAAGGGGCTATAATACCTTGCAATGGGACTTGGAAGTGCACAGTCAAACGGCTATGCTATCTGCAGTAATTACAAATGGGCTGGTGCAGTGGTTACTCATGCTTCCAATGGCAGCGGAAAATGGTGTATGCAGAAATAATTCTTGCAGTTTTATTGCAACATTGCAAGGCAAGCTTTTAATGTGCGTTGCAGCCGTAGCAAGTCCAACCTGTAAAACCACGAGAGGTGCTTTCCATTTGTCTCAAATCGGTCTTGTTGACAAAATATTGTGCAGGGTGGGTTTCAACTCATTTATATTTTGCTCGGGACTGAGACCTCATAGATATGGATTTAATGAAGCTCGCGCATACTCGTATATCAGTAAAAAAAGAAGCTTATTAGCATTAAGTAGGCCGCTAATGAGTTACAAAGATGCAGTGATCTGTACCTACTAAAACCCAGTAAGATCATAACGCAGTACCTAGTGAGACGAAATAGGACGCATGGTTATTTCTGCATCTCATCACTGAAAAGTGCAGCATCATTGCTGTTTGTCCCCGCTATCGTATCTTCATCCGGATAGGAAGTGACACACAGAGTGCGCTAATTTCGTCTGCGGAGTCTGTCCCGGATCCGACATACGTCACAGAGTCTCAATGTGACGCAGTGTCTGAACCTTTCGCGGTCGCAGTTGACATCTCCATCAACGGAAATGGTTGATTCACAGGGACGCAGACAGGCCAATAAATTGTGTTTATTGCGTTCGTCTTAGCGGCACTGCGTACTCATGCCTACCTGCTATAAGAAACATCACCAAGTGCAAGTTGCATCATTGCTTATTACATAATCTTAGAAGTAAGAGCACACAAACATATTTGCATGTTCAGTTTTGATGGACCTCTTCTACAGCCTGCCTAACAGAATTACTAAATAAATGTTCGAGTGTCATCCTCTTTACCATTACCTATGATTAATTTTGTTTTAGCCTTTAAAAAAAATCATTTCAGCGGTTGATTCTAAAGAAGAGACGAACCTACGTAACACCACTCAGTGCTCATAAAGATCATCATGTCTATATTGTATGTGATTGGTCAAGACATGTATCGGAGGCCTTGGCCCTTGCATTTAAAAAGGACGATCCCTCAAAGTCGGGCAAACATTGGGTGCAGTGGCATTTGTCCTGCAAAGTCCTGAATAGTCCATGACAACCAAGTAAAATTCTCTGAAAACCCGTCACCTAACTGAATTGATAAGTCATGAGCACCGATTTAATCCGCTGCACTTTTATTGTGATTTCTTGCGAGTGGTCTGTGCCGGCTGCGGCTGCTGTCGGGCGCATTGCTGAAATTTCCCCAAAGGCCGCACGCAACACGCCTTATCTGGGGCAGAGCGGTGCGGTGCGCCCGCCGGACGACCGACCTTCCCCTACCGGCCGATGACGTGTCCAAGTCGGTGACCCCTCCCTCCTGACCGGTATCTATACCACGGAGATACGCCAGCAACGACAGGGGGGGCGGCCGCGGGTGAATCGCTCTACTTGCAGCTCTGGCATTGATAGGAATGTTAAATCATCGATTTTTGCATATGACTTCACTATGAAGCAATCTCTACTGATGCAATTACCTGATTGGGTATTTATGACATAACGACCACAAATATACGGACAGTCAGTTAGTATGAAACAAGAACAAAATGTGGACAATGGAAACTGGTGGATTTTATTTATTATTATTTTTTTGTAGGCACATGTAGTGGTGAACCGTGAAGTGGCCAAAAACATATTCACAAATTGATCAGAAGAATCGTTGTATTGTATTTGGCTATTGTTTGGTGTGTATATGTAAAAATCGCCGCGGAAATAGATAACAAACAGGACAACAGCTATCGGCCGTTGTCTCCCTATTCTTTCCTTTCCGTATCCAGCGACCACCAGCGTTGGCCGTTTCCTTTCCCAGCAGCAGTGAGACGTGGAAAACCAGATCGTTTCCGGTCAGCCGAAGCCGGACCGGACCTTCCATATCGGAACGTCGACGCCCACTTCAGCTCAGAGCTGTCACCGCGGGGCTGGAAAGCCTTCCGCCCCCGCGCCAGGTCCCCTCTTACAGCCGTCAACCGCTGCAAACGTCAACGGTATTCCGCAAACGCCTGATGCATGTTTTGACCTTTGGCCACAATAGCGGTGTTTTGGAGATGAGAAAAGCATGGGTATTGGATAAGATGTCAGCGGACAGTTTGCTGTCTGAATCATGATAAGATGATGATCGCGTTTTGGGTAGGAAATGCGTAATGCACAGGAGCTTCAGGTAAATTAAATATCAGATGTTTAATGCTTGTCTATGGCGCTGGCTAATGCTTGGAGTAGATGTGCACTTTCGTATGCCCCTGGAAGGGGATCGGATCCTGCTGTGCAGCTGTACAGCCGTTTAGGTTTGCTGCTGCACCGCGGTGCTGCACTATATCGGCGAGGAGGAAAGCATGAACGACCTCGACTGTTAATGGCGTTGCAGATCTGCAACCAAATAATTGTATATTGCAGTAATTGACGTAGAATAATGCTGTTCTGTTACGTGGCTGACATTTGCCTGAATATCACACCACGATTGCCAACTAGAATTAGGAAATTGCACTCCCCAAAAGGCCAAAAAAAGCTCTAGATTTTTTATTCCGAATATAACTGTATAAGCCTTGGTAACTGTTCTGAAAGTTCCCCCGAATAACATTTTCCTATGCTGGCTCAACAAGGTACTTTTAGTTTCATTGAAGACACACAACAGCAAATTGTTCTCCAGCTAGATCTCACACTAATGACACTAACCGATAAGGCAAAGGAAGCCCTTTATGCTGGCTTCTTTCCACTAGCATCGCATGACACTTAACCCGTGTCGTGTGTATTTAAACGGTGAGCTGTAACCAACAACCGTAACCGCAACGAGTGGCTTTAAAACATGCACTCTGTGGTCGCACTTCCAGAGCACATGCCGCTCAGCCGCAGGTCATCACGAAAACACATGCTAACCGATGCTATACGGCGCATAGACGATCTCGGAGAGTTGTTTACGACCTGACTAAAGTGAGCTGGATGATACTTATCGCCCGCAGCACAGCTAAGACAGACACAGGAGTGTCCAGACTTGAGTGAGCGGGGGAGACTCAGGCGGAAAGGCCGGACGAAAGGTTGACCAGTGGGTGGAGGGTGTCCGTAGTTTCCCAGTGATTTGAATTTGGCCGGATGTTGAGGGTGTCGGCCTTCAGAGTGCCCGTGCGTGACACGCCCCGGGCTACCTGTGTCATCGTGTCAAGTGTCAGCTGTGTCAGCGGCACGGGAGTCGGTGCGGGGGCGGTACACCGTTGATGAGAGGTGGGCGGTGCCAGCGACATGCGTGGGCGGGATGGCCAGGGCCGTGGTGCCGCTAACCGGCCGGTGAAAGGTTGGCGTGGTCGAGTGAAGGGATTGGAAGGATCTGTGGTCGATCATTGTGGAGATTTAAAAAGATAGGTGGACGTGTACTACAATAGTAACAGATTATCCCGAGGTCAAAGAACTGCGAGATTATACAAGAAAGGCCATTGAATTAGCCATTTGAAGGTTACGAAATTATTCAACACTGCCATCCAGTTTTAAACCTTGGTGGAATGCCCTTCATTTAAAATGCAATGCTTAGTCTGCGTGATAACGCCTTTAAAAAGTTGACATAGTGAAAAAGCAACCTTAGACCGACGCCAGACGTGTGACCGGGACCACCCTGACTATAAGCCGCTGAGTCACCATATTGCTATCCAGCCACTGCAGCTCCGTCCCCAGTAAATCAGTCGCCGGGGGCACTGTGCAACGACCGAGGGATGACGAAGGTCCGAGAGTAGACACCGTCCCGATCCAGACTGAGAGTGAGACAGACACTCACAGACCACTGACCGGCGGACGAGCGCCGCTGTTCCGCGTAACACGGAGCAGGTTTTGTGGACGATGATTCATCAACCCGTAAGGTGCTCTGGCCACGTGACTAAGAGAAGAGCGGAGGGTAATGATTGTTGGTTATCTCGATCGGGTCATCGCATTTGTGATGCTACCATAGACTGGTGATATCCTTAGAAACAAAAATATTAGCACACAGGTACGAGGGCATCGCAGCTTATCGGTGACACAATTTAACAGGGCTGTCGCGTGACCACTACTTCTTCGATACGAACCGATGGTGATTGTTGAAAGAACAATAAAGGACGACACTGTCAAGGCCGTATTGGTGCAGCTGAGGACCTGTCGATTGTCATGAGCCACTAGCCAGGGAGCTGCCTATTTTTAAATAGAGCTGACAGAAGACGGCCCGGTGCGCCCGCTTTTTGGAGCACATTGGAGGAAAATGGCTGCAAAGGACATGAGAATCGAGGGGTCCCGCATGACATCGCGATATTTTTTGAAGATTTTAGCTGTTCACACTTTCCTTTACGACCGCAACATTGATTGACGTAATTTATATTTAAAATTTTTGATGATATCTGGCTGCGCCATTATTACAGTTTCGGAATATGAAGTCATACCTACATAATGCGAAATGTCAAGATTAGTCTGCTTCTAATCTAAAGGCATGCGATTTGTGGGCATGCTTTTGAGCTTTGGAACTTGGAAGTGAAAGGTCTGAGATAACATTGAGTTGAAAGTATTGCCAATTATCTGGGACGTTTTAGGAATGTGCACAACCACAACACCGCTGTCGCACTTTTATTGGCAATAGTATAACGAACAGTTACGTCGTTACGAATGTGACAACAGTCCGTCAGTGTATCCAACCGTCCCTGTAATTCCTTGGCACCAGCCGTCATTCTGCGCTCTCTCGCCCCCTGCTCCGCTAACACCTGCCTCTGCCTCCCGCAGCTGGCCACGGGCTCAGCTCGACCTCGGCCGGTGGCCACAAGTGCTGGTCTCCGCGCGGTGCGGTGGGCAGCTGCCAGACCATCAAGGAGTGCGGCCTGGTGAGCAGCTACTCCATCGTGCACGCGGTCCGCACCAGGCTCTGCTACTGGCGCAGTGGACAGCCCTTCATCTGCTGCCCAAAACCAGGTAGGTTAGAGCTTCGGCGAGATTGGCTAGCAATAGCAGCATTCAGACAACGACCTTGGTATTTAGGCCATAGACAAACAGGAGGATTAACCTATTCGTAGCGTGCGAGGAATATTTATCAGCGCGGTAACGGTCGGTCTGCCATTGTCTCTCGCTGACTCGTGATGTATTGTCGGGTGCAATTGCGCGCGACTTTCCTTCATTCCCCATTGTTTGGTAGCACAATCCTCCGCACAACCATGTTTTACAATATAATGTAGTAGAGCTGTTGGTAGCGTTTGTCCAGCCCCCAATGGTCATGACCTAACCAATGCGTCGCATTGTTTCAGTGATAGACCTATCGGCGAAGCGCCGCTTTTGGTACGGCTTCTTCCGCGGAAAAACCGTCACTGACGGCCTCGAGACGGGCACCACCGCCACCCCACCGGTGGAACCACCAACCTTTACCACCACCACCACAACCACCACCGAGATTCCCACCATCTTCCACCGACCTACGGTCCGTCCACCCTCCCCTTCCACCAGTCCACCGACCTCGCGTCCGCCGTCTCCGAGCATCACGTTCCCCAGCGACCAGTCTCTGGTGGGGGCCGAGTCCGTGCCGGTCCCCTCCAAACGCCTCCGACCTCCTCCTCCGCCGGCCGTCGCCGTCAACGTCAGCCTCGTCGAGGAGGAGGAGGAGGAGGAGGAGCTTCCAGTGGAGGCAGAGAAGGACATGCCGACTCTGGATCCGTTCCCCATGAACCACAAAGAGGTGGTCACCAAGCCGTCCGACTCGCCCGAGAGCCGCGACTCCGCTGACGGAGGTGAGTGGTTTGGTGCGGTTCTGTGGTTCTGGGTGTCTGTGGTTCCGTGGTTTTGGATGTCTGTGGTTCTAGGTGTCATTTCGTGACCTCGCCCTGCTGATACCATCTGCGGTCAGGGAGGGCTGTGGGATCACCTGGAACTATGACAGATCTCCGGTGATGAGCTCTGCGGTTGATGAGTAGCAAAGTAGCGTGAGAAGGACGCTGGTCTGATCCGACAGGTGACCGGCAGTAACCGATTCAACAGCCTTGAAAGTCCTTCTATTGTCCTTCGATAGCATGCGATCATGATTGATCGGATCGATGCGTAGCTAATGTGTCATGTCTAGCTGACCTATACTCGAGTGATCCGATGATGATCTCACCAAAATCCTCCGTAAAATAAGCTTATTATAGACTTTGATAAATAATGACTGCAAGGAATTTACCGAACCTGCCCCGCATTATCCAACTTTGACCCACGAAATGACCCACCTAACTGGGTCTGACCCGACTTGCCCACGGTCTATGATTGCTTCCACCTGAGCTGACCTGGCCCGATTTCCCTCAGTCTGCGGCCGCTCTGATCCCTGACCTGACCTGACCTGACCTGCCCTCCCACAGTCTGCGGTCGCTCTGACCCGGTGGTACTGGCCGACGAGCTGTCAGCTCAGGTTCTTCGGGAGGCGTTTCCGGAGGTGAAGCCGGTGTTTGCCGTGCCAGGAGGCGCCTTCGGAAAGGAGGCACGCGTCACCGGCGGCTTCGCCAGCGTCCAGGGACGGTGGCCGTGGATGGTAAGAAATTGTTGGCTGTTTCGCCGTCCTAGAACGAAACGGCAATTTCTGTGTGATAGGTTTTACACGTTTTACATAGACGCTCATCTTGCGTTTCATGTCAAGAATTTCCAGTCTGGACTCTGGCCTTCTCTATATAAGCGGCACCATAAGCGGAGGAATTTTGTGCGTATGACGCGAGGAGTTCCGTTTTCCTCATGACCGCCGACTCACCGTTTTTCTGCGCTCGACAGGCGATGCTGGGGAAGTTGGAGTCCTCCAACATCACCTGGCTGTGCGGCGGCTCCATCATTGACGAGTATCACATCCTGACGGCCGCACACTGCGCGCTCGAGAGGTGGGTTCAAATCAGCCGACGCAACGATTTACAACTCATTCAGTGATATGCTCGTAGATCGTAGAAATAATGCCTATAAATTAATATAACATGCTGGTGCCTGGAAAAGAAGGATGAAAGGCATTCATTCCCATCGGCATTATTTATTGGCTTGGCTATCTATGTCGTTAACGCTAAATTGAAGACGGTAACGAACTACCTCGCAATGTCTAAATAATGAATCGCTGAATCGCTTCGTTAAATGTCTTCCTATTGTCTAAAACCTAGCGTTTGGAGCCCCAGTAAAAATACAAAAGTACCACCATGCACGCAAACAAATGGCCTTGCATACGATTCCGACAAATCCATTGTACTTACAGGTCTTGGGTTTATTCTACTGACTGAGATAGGTACTTAGGACGGATAATCATGATAAAAAGATTATTATTACTTTCAGCATTGTTACATAAATTATAATTGATTTTTACGTAAACACGGCTTTGCTGCATACTTTGTGCCATTCTCGCACTCCTTTCGAAGTATCGCATGCGTTGTTCAAACACGTTCACCGTTTGTTGAGGTAGGCGGGGGAAATTCCAGTAACGCTCGCCGACTGTCTTGGTTTTGCTGTGCCAACCTAGGCAACTCAAGACGCCTATCGCTCACCACATTTACTTCCGACGCGTACGACCTTGTAATAATAAATCCCAGGCACAGTTCACATAGATGAAACCAAGCCCATTATAATATGTCTTGTATTCTTGTGTCTTTGTCGTCTGCATGTAAAAGCATTGTAAGAAATGCAGTGTTCGGAAAATTATTCGCTTCCATACCTATTCGTAAAATAAAATTTCGAAATTCGTTTGAGGTTTTATCAAGGACTCCAAATGATACTGAATGATACTGAATGCTAAGTTTTAACATATATTGATCAATCCATGAAGTGAAAGTGTCATATTCTTCGTGGCTAACATGCCGCTTTGCACGTTAGATGTTTCGTCTTTGCTAATTTAGTTAGCAGACTGAAATATTTGTCATTACGTCGCTGCAACTGCCTACGAGATACAAACCCGATCTGCCTCTTCAAGTCACAGTAGTATCTTTTAGTCTTTTTTGTGGACAGCCAAGAACCGCACAACGAGGAAATTTGCGAAAACCGCAAAGCGCAATGAATGCATTAATGCGCTTATCGGATCCCGGCATTGGAAGTGCACCACGTTTGAATTTCTTTAATTCCAACTAACTTTCCCTGTTTTGCACATTTGCGCACAGTTTCGCTCACACTGGTAGGCATAGCACTGCCGCTGCATTATTAACATTGTCCCTCTTCCAGGCCCAACATTGTCCGAGTGGGTGGCCACAACATTGAGCTGGACTTCCGCTCGGGAGACCGCTCGGAGCGACACGAGGTAGCGAAGCTGACCCTGCACCCGCAGTACCGCCCTCCGCGCTCCTACCACGACATCGCCATAGTGACCCTGCGCCGGTCGCTGGTCTACTCGCGCTTCGTGCGGCCCATCTGCCTGCCTCCACCAGACCTGAAGCTGCGCCGGGGTATGGCGGCCAAAATCACCGGCCATGGATACCAGGAGTTTAGTAAGTACCTACTGAGTAGACTGGTGGTTAGAGGGAGGGGAGAGAGAGAGAGAGAGAGAGAGAGAGAGAGAGAGAGAGGGGGGGGAGAGGGGAGATGGCGCTCCATGTCACGAGTCCGCTGGTTTTGGGTATAATCAGATTATCATAGGCGAGAGGGAAACAGGATTTCGTGTTTATTGTCGTCATTGAATGACTCATGTTTGTGGAACTGAACAAATTACCTAGCAGAGGAGCTTTGATCGATTCCCCGGGTGACCGTTTAGCCTAGGGCGGTACTTGTGGACAGCAGGAGACAGACGATTGTTCTCGGAAGAGCAGATCTCCCCTTACTTAGGCATGCCATGAGTCACCAGTGCCACGCTACCTGGTCAGTAATTTACTCGGCACAGTTTGACCACAGCCAGCAGTGGCGCGGGAACCGGGGGGGGGGGGGCTAGGGGGGCTGAGCCCCTCCAACTTTTCGGCTGGGGGGATGGTAATGTATTTGAGCCCCCCTCCCAGCTGGAGGAATCGAAATCGGAAATCTACCAACACAATTTCATAGATTCATACATAGGCGCGGGAACCGGGGGAGAGGGCAGTGGGGGAAGCTTGCCCTCACAACTCTGGGGCCGTGGGGGCGGTGCCTCACAACTTTTCATGAGGCCAGGAACCGTTGGGGCAGCTTGTCCTCCCCAAATTAGGGGTTGTGAGTCACAGAGGAAGAAAGCATGTGAGTGAAAAATCTACCTATTTTACTGACTCGGCAACTCATTTGGCAGCTTAAAACTTTTATTCCAGGTTGCCAAAACGGTAGTTTCTTCACTCAGCTGAGACGGAATACCTCACTTTTTTGCAAATATTTTCTTCTTCTTTTTCGTTGAAAAGGCCAAGGTCTGAAAAATAAGTGGCCTAAAACCGATGAGAAAGCTAGATTTGGGGGTACCCTAGGTTGATCTCTATGATGGTTCAGCCCCCCCCCCCCCCCCCAGTCTGGAAGAAGTTCCCGCGCCACTGACAGCCAGTGTGCAATTTAATCGATTTAGATAAATGTTGTGCTATATTTTGTACCCGGTCGTTTTAAAGACGGATACGAGGATGAAGTTTATGATAAGATAATTCGGCACCTTCAAACTGTCAAAGCTACTGCCGCAATACAAGTCTGACTGTTGATGCCAACTGTAGATTATAGATTAGGTTTTAATTTAGATTGTAATCGAGTCTTCCTGAACCAGGAAGTGACTTTATGACGATTCGATAACAGTACGACATCCATGTAATTACTGCAGGAAAACTGGCCACACGTCGAAATCTGTTCATGCGGCCGTACCAAATAATCAGCACACCGCATTGTCGCAGTAGTGATTTAATTAATTCCGGTAATGTTGTCCCTGACCGGATCAAAATAACATGTCTTTATACGAATATCCTGTTGACGGGGATGGGAATCTAGGCTGCTTCGCTTCGACCGCACAAATGTTGGCATACAAATTGGTCACGATATATCGTGTGCACTGTAAAAAAAAAAAAAATGAGACAAAACACACGATAACGTATTACTTGCATGAAGGTAAACTAAAACGTGGCCTGATATGGTAGAAAATAGAAATAGTGTTGCGGTTTTAAGTTGGAGTGTTCAGCGAATTGCGCCATACAAATTTAAACTTGATGTTACAGCTATCTAATTGTTACCTACAGTTATAGTAAAAAAAAATCCTTAGTATTTGCTTCTGATTTGCCGAATGACGAAAATATAGTGCACTTTTATGCTTATTTCTAAAACTTTATCTATAAACGACGCATCCTTATACCTAGACGCATTTTTGCGAACTGTGGTGTGCACTCATGGTTTCGTTTATTATTTCTCGGCCTGGTTTAATCGATTCATCTCGCCCTTCCTCGCCTCAGTGCACTGGCCGCTGTTACCGTTTCAAATCGTCATTAATTTAACCACTTGATGTATTGAATGGTCGGTTTTGCCATGATCAAATAATTAAATATGGTGATGAAATTGACCAGTAACATGGCAGTAAGATGTATTTTTAAATAACAAAATGAGGCCGAAAATATAGAACGAGCTTTCGTCTTACGACATCATCGGGTTCTGAACCCGATGATGTCGTAAGACGAAAGCTCGTTCTATATTTTCGGCCTCATTTTGTTATTTAAAAATACATCTTACTGCCATGTTACTGGTCAATTTCATCACCATATTTAATTAATTTAACCACTATCATTTCCCACAGACGCTGGAGAGCTATCGGCACAGCTTCGGGAGGCGCAGATTCAGCTGGTGCGCAGAAAATTCTGCAACGCCTCCTACGCCCGCCTCGGCCGGGCCTTCTTTGACAAGTACCCGAGCGGTGTGCTGAGTCACATTATCTGTGCCGGCGACGAGAAGGGCGGCGTCGATGCCTGTCAAGTGGGTGAAATTCAATTCAAACTTTGAAACACTGTTTATTTCCTTCTATACAAATTGAAATGAATTGTTATGCTCTCTCATTATCGTAATTATTGCATCATTAGTCATACAATATCCTGTTAATTTGCCGTTTAACCGTACCAGTTAAATATTTATTTCCGAGAGCGCAACAAACAAATGGTCCAAGTTGAGGGAACGCTCGTGCATGACTCTGACACCAATAGTGGCATCAGCGCAGCTCGTCTCACCACCTATCTGTCTCCCTCTGCAGGGCGACTCGGGCGGACCTCTCGTCCAGCACAACGAGGCCACCAACACCTACCACCAGATCGGCGTCATCTCCAGCGGATTCGGCTGCGGCAACCCCGAGTACCCGGGCCTGTACGTCAGCGTCAAACACCACCTCAAGTTCATCGCAGCCGTCAGTGCCAGCCACTGGAGCCACGTCAAAACGGATCCCACTGAAGCGATACGACCGAGGTCCGCTGAGCTAGTCAAAGCAGAGAGTGCGACTGCAGCGTCACCTATACCAGCGCAGACATGACGTTGAATGGTATAGAGGACGCGGTATATATGAGTTTTGGTGAGGCGCATGCGAGGTGAAGGGTGGCTCCCTTCGAGCTGTGCCGTATCTTGATCTCGAGTATGAATGAGCGAATGTGTGATACCGTTTACCTGCTGCCTATGGAAGATAATTATAGGGCAGTGAATGAGGTCAGGTGAGGTGGGCTTCGTGGTGACAATAATGACACGTTGACTGCTAAGTGCGCCAGAGCTGTGTTCGACAATTTGTCGAGTCGATTTTGTTAGCGATATAAAATAATATGCATAGGCTGAATTGATTTTGTGACGGGTATGACAAGTTACCAGTGACGTAAACATGTGTGAATTTGTAACAATGTTGTAGGAAGCGTGTACACTAATGACATGTTTTTTATGTTGCATAGCCTACTACCGATCGCATCGAACAAGAGCAGTGTTATGACATGTGTTTGCACTTTGTTTGAAATAAAGGGAGTCGCGTTATCATAGATAAGAGTGTTTTTTTTTTACATCACATAACTACATTTTTAACACATAACTGTACATATATTATACAATTCATACGCACATTTGTAAGCAGAGATCATATCACAAACAGTAGCTTATCGCTATACAACCCGTAGGATTCATAACAATGCCCTTTATATCAGTATACCTACAGATCACCGAAAGTACTTACTAATGGAGGCTCAGTTGGATGCACAGTTGGATAGGAATCACTTTTCGTTTTGTCAGATCTATAAGCAGGATGTAGGCAGATTTGGTTGATGTTCTGTCGGATCCAGTCGGTGTCAGTTGAGGTTCTGCCGGATCCATGGTCAATGTCAGTTGAGATTCTGCCGGATCCAGTCGGTGTCAGTTGAGGTTCTGCCGGATCCAGTCGGTCCAGTTGAGGTTCTGTCGGATCCAGTCGGTGTTAGTTGAGGTTCTGCCTGATCCAGTCGGTATACTGGGCGACGCGCGTGTACACGCCCGGCTTGTTGGGGCCGGCGCACGAGTCGCCCCACGACACGAGGCCCACCAGCTGGAAGGTGCCGTCCAGGCGACACGCCAGCGGACCGCCGCTGTCACCGCCGCACGAGTCGACACCGCCCTCCAGGTAGCCGGCACACAGGGTGCCCTCGGGGAAAAAGTGCCGCTTGGCGCCGTACACCTTGGCCGAGGCGCACACCTTCTCGGGTATGACGGCCACGCGCGCGGCCAGCAGCGAGGAGGCCAGGCTGGCGTCGTCGGCCGGGTCGGTCAGGCCCCAGCCGGAGACGACGCACTCGGTGCCGTCGGCGGGCCGCTCGAACGGCGCCGGCAGACACACGGGTGACACGCGCGCGCTGTACACGGACTTTTTGTTGGAGCCGGCGCGCAGCCGCAGCACAGCCAGGTCGTGCCGCTTGCCCGGCTTGTCGTACGCCGGGTGGATGATCAGCTTGTCGATGGCATACGCCGCCTCGTGCTCCTCGACGGCGTCGTTGGTGTGGTCGCCCAGCACGACCAGGTACTGGTCGCGGTCGTGTGTGACCATGCAGTGGGCGGCGGTGAGCACGTGCTGCGGAGAGACCACGGCGCCGCCGCAGTGGTGCACCCAGTAGCCGGCGCGGCGCACCTTGATGTGCGCCTGCCACGGGAACGCGCCGTACGGGGCGCCGCTGCCGCCCACGATCCGTGTCGTGGCCTGCCGCTTGCGGGGAGGCATGTAGAACACCGGCTGACTGCCACACTGCGCCGCGCGGGCCGCCCGGGCAGAGCGACGACGGCGCACTGGCGGGCTGCTTCGGAGAGACAGATTCACCTCGTCGGCTGCAGATGACGCGGCAGTCGGCTCGGGCAGGTCAAACAGGTAGCGGGCGCCTCGGGTGCCGTTGGTTTTGGTTGCCGTGCGCTGGTAGGTGGTCCACTGTGCGCCGAGCGTCTGCTCGGTGCCCTGGTCTGTGTGCAGCTGACAGCGACGGTACTGTCCGTGCCAGCTGAAGCCCTGGCAGCGGGGAGTGTTGTCGCAGAGCTTGGCGCAGGCGGGCACAGTCAGCGAGCTCCAGTAGACGCGGCTGCCGCTGCGGAGCGGCGCCTCGGCCGGCCGGTAGCCGGGCAGCGAGGGCTCGCAGCCGAGCTCGTCCCAGCCGGCGGCGCAGTCGGCGCGGCCGTCACAGAAGCGGCGCGGCGACACGCACCCGTCGCCGGTCGAGTTGCCGCACAAGTAGGAGAGCGTGTCCTGACACCGTGTCACCGCCGGCGTGTCAGTCGGTGTCACGAACACGGCCAGCTCGGTCTCCTGGCCGCCGACACAGCCGGCCGCCAGCAGCCACACGGCCCACACCGCGCTGGGACTCAGCATCGTGCTCATAGACGGCTGGCAGAGGATGTTCCAGCACCACGTCCCGTTCCCTGTTGCACCAGTCTAACTAGTCATCCGACTCCCGGCGCCGCTGCACCGTTTCCACAGCAGCCCCGGGCGCGGCTGTGAGTTCCCTGTGAGCCAGAGTCCCACTGCGCTGTGTTCATGGTCACGGTCGGCGTTATATACCGTCCGTCGGCTGCAGGGGCTCAACCCATCATCATGGTCAGTCAGGCGCCGCCGGTAGTGACCTTGTGCCCCGGCGCTACCCATTGCCACCCCGTCCCTCCCCGGCGGCAGGATGAGCAAGGCTGAAACGAACGCAGGAAGTCCGCGTTGGCTTTGACATGTTTTGATAATATTGGCACGGAATATGTATGTGGGAGGGTAGTGGGTGTTTTATTTTAAGCTTAAAGATCAGACCAGATATGACAAGCTCTTTTTCCATCGTGTCATTAGGTCATGTATGTAAGTGCTTATTATAAAGGCAGACTTCGTCGAGTGTGTCTGGAACGCTGATGAAAGAGGGCTGTATAGGCAAGTCTTTCATAATAAAAAAATGACCCTAAGTCAGGCCACGAGGTGGCTGATGGTGTCAAGGATGCTAATAAAAACACATGTTTGATTGTTTGTTGAAAAATGTGTACGGTTTTCGTCCGAAAGAGGTACAGCTCATTTATCTGTCTTGACTGTTAGGAACCGATTGTTAATTATGATGGGGCATCAAAACGCTTATTCTCCCCAGCTGGAGGAGCTACGATCAGACCAGTATAAAAATTACAGTGGTATATATCATATATTTTGTATGAAAATTATATATTTTACAACACAATACGGTTCGATTACAATACGGCCATTAGGAGGGATTTTTTGTAAAACATCCAAATAAATGCCAAACAATTGAACACAATAATATTTAAATGAATGGATACATGAATACAACGCCTGACGGTAAATGAACCCAACAGCACATGTTGTTATCCTGACACATCTAAGTACACCTTCGACCAGGTCCTGACCAGTGATCGGTCCTATATTGACCCGCGAGTTGCTGGGGGGTTAAACGCCCCCACTTTTTTCGCCGGGCCATAGCATAAAAACGGCGCGCCGCAGGCCCGCCAAATTTTGGGTACCTGTAGGGAATTGATTGAAGGCTATTGTGACAAAATTTCAAAAAAATCGGTCGGGAAAATTTTGAGATATCGAGGTTTAAGTGACGTCATGATTTCTGAGTTTTCGACCAAAAACGGCATATGTTCAAAAAATCATATCAAATCACAGAATAGACATACAGACATGCCGTAAACGGCATTTGACTGCCAATACCATGAACAATCAAATGGCTATCTTCGATTATTGATTATTGTTTCGCATTTGCCAAAATCTTGATCTGAATCTTGGCAATTTCTCGTGACTACCGGGTGTTCACTAAAAATTGAGACAAGGTTTAGCAGGCTGTATCTTCGGTAAAAATGTACCGATTTAAACAAACGAGGCATTGTTGTAATGCACATTGCATCTGCTGCAAGCCGTAGAGCGTCAACAGATTTGCCTGATCCCTGTAGGTCATTTTTTGGACATTTCCTTGGAAGTGTTGTCACAAGCTCTGGCACCAGTGGACCGTGATGCTGGCCAGTTGATGGTGGTAATGAGCAACCAGTTGATATTTTGTATGAAATCGAAAGACACCAACATACGTTATAGCTTTAGGCAAATCACATTAGATACTCATTTGTTAAATTTCAGGCGTGGAAAATGGCTTATCGGGTCTCGTTCCAATGGGAATTTTTACATCGGCCGGGGCCCTCAAGGCGCCCCTTGGTTAGTGTGCTGGCGCGAGGTCGGACCAGAAAATCACATTCTGGTTACATATGTTGTTGTGCATGAACCTCTAGTGCTTAATAATACACTTGGCTCAAAAAGTATCATATTGTAAAGGACCAGTCTGGAGGAATAAAGTCGAACTGTGATGATATTCTCTGAAATAAGACATACACCACGGCATCCAGCGTTAGCTTGCATGCTGACACTTAAAGGAAATAGTTCACTTTTTAACATGGGTTTTGAACTGGAATAGCAGTTCCGTAGCTTGGGCTGAGACGAGCATAAATCAGGAGCTTTTACAGCCCAACGATCACCCTAGGCAAAGATATTCTATTTCTCGTCCCGAAAAAGGTGTCTTGCGTTGAGGATGTGTGCCTTGCATATATTTCCATCCAGTATGAAAAGAGCATGGGTCCCGAACATTCTTCAGAAACTAGAGAAATTATCTACGAGAACTCTAGAGAAATTCTCGTACTGATCAATTAGGACATTCAGGGGAACATCATCAGATCGAGCAGATCGCCCAAATGCCGGTGGCTGCGATAATTTCTCTGTTTCTGAAGAATTTTCGGGACCCATGCTCTTTTCATACTGGATCGCGTGTGCCTTACAGAAACTGAAAAGTTCTTCCTATAGCAAAATATAGAAAAAAAAATATTTTGTTATAAAAAGGTTTTATTTTCTTTGCTGATTATTTTGAACATAAAAAATAATAAATCGTTGCAAAAAAAATAATTTCGTGAAAGTGAACTATTTCCTTTAATGGACGTTTGCCCTTGTATTATCGATCACATCACAACAGAACACTCCATTGTCTAGTTAATTGTCGCCCTTTAACTAAAAACATGATTTTCTACCTTAAATAGTTCAACTTTTTTCTGCATTTTTTGTCCCTTTTTTGACCATAGCATATTTACTTCTCTGGCCTTATGTTGTTCCCAGTCGAGAAATCATTTGCGCCGGTTGTAACTCAGCCTAGTCTCAGGTGTGATATATCTTCTTTGCTTATGCACAGTTAATACCTTAATGATCAGCAGCATTGCGCCGTGAGGTGTCAAAAAGCCCCTCCACGTGCATTTTCGGGGCCCCGACCCTTCCTCAGGTCAATATCTTCACAATTACACCACTTCAGCTTTTCGGACTCCCACACCCTCTAGAACTTTCGTCCCACTGTACGGTATGTAACTAATTTTGACATTTTAAGTTTTCATTAGGTATTTGTACGTGCCAAACTCTCCCATTGACGTGCTATTTTGGGAAAGCCTGCCAATGGGCTTTTGGTAGTCCTTGTTTAAAACGACCTCCAACGCCACTGTTTTCATTACATCCGTGAAATTT